TTTGGATTTCAGTCGGTTAGTTCTTTATCACCAGTCAGCATTAGTGGAAGTGAAAGTCCATTCTGCTGGCTATCTAAATTATTGGTTGCCATTTATGTTTTTTCCACACACTGTTTCTTTTGCAACTTCAGTGTTGCAAACATCAAGGTTTGGTCGATGATTTCATGCATTGTGCAGCTCTATTACTATACAAAACCATTTATAATATGACTATGTATACTCTGTTTTGTTCAGTATGTTTGGACATTTTGTTGTCCCTTTTAACGTTAGTTAATTAATGTTAATTCTTAAAGAACCAAAGGAACTAAGAAGGACTAAGTCTGTCTTCCATGACTTGAGCGATAAAACCTTGCCCGATTCACAATTTTCTGAAACGTATCCGTTTTTAACTCCGTAACATCTACGGTCAATGCCGCAAGCCTCTGAGTTAGTTTTTGGTAGGTTAAATATTTCTAATCAAGAACATTTTTTAATGATCTTCATCTGCAGCTTAGAGACACTTTATGCGAGGAAATCGGTAAAGTGCCCTTTAGAGCAAGTCTGATCAGGATATATCACGTTACATCATGTTATTCTTTAGCTGCTGACAGGCTAAGATATAGGAAACCCTTTGTTGGTTCGCCCCACCCTGTCGGGTCAAAGTGAGCACCATCTTGGGTATTCATATTGGGCTTTTGACAACCCAGCATTGGTTAACCACCTGTCAGATTTACACCACTGCAGCTCAGGGAATCAACGATTCAGCCCCCATTCTCCCTCTCGGCCTTTTCTCTTCCCCTCCTTTCAGATCAGTAAATAATAAGCTTTGGCTTGTGCAGGGGAGCATCATACTGACAGCTTCTTTATTGTTTGCACAGTTTACTTCACACCAAGCCGCCTCCCTCCTTGTACCCTTTCTTTGCTCTTTCTTCTCCCGTGCCCACACATGGGAAGAGCTCTCCGGCTAATTAGAGACTTTGCCAGTGGAATTCCAGAAGACAAAAGAAGCCATTCAGGTCAGGATGCTGCTGAAAAGGCTGCGCTTGGCAGAGGCTTCTCTTTGAAACTCGCCCTCTTGTGAAGACACCCAAGCACTTGACTTAAAGGAGCAGCTCTGCCCTCGTTTTTCTAAATATATATATTATTTTTTTGTTTGTTTTCCACTCCATCATCTTTGGCCACCTTACACTGTGGGAAGACAGGTGGGATTTGACTGCTGTCACGCACTTCCAGCACAGGGTTGTGATAGTTCAGTCCTGTCCTGTTGATTTTATGGAGCTGATCTGCTGCCTCCGTGGCACATCTGACCCATATTCTTTAATGCACTTGTCTTGTCTAACTGCTGGCTCATCCGAGCTTGTAGAAATCCCTGTCTGCTGTGTCGCTGTTCATCCACCTGCCAACTACGCTTGCAGACTCAGGAATCCTTTGAGTAAACTGATCCAGTGACCCTCAACCTGATCAATTAGACAAATTAGTCGTGTTTAGTGGCTCTGGCTCTTTCTCACACTTCCATCTATTGAATTATCCACCCATCCGGCATTTCCTCAGAAACATTAATTCTTTGGCCCTTAGCTCTTGGCTGTTTTTTCCTAATAAAAATCTCCGAGAATGCATTTAGTGTGGGGAGGTTATGGATTTTTTATTTATTTATTTATTTCCAGTTTTCTGAATTACTGTACAGCAATGGTTTATTGCTAACCTTGGCCCACAGAGTGATCCCCCTTTGCTAAGGCTCCTATGCTTTATGTGATCATAACCATAAATATCAGTGTGTTTTATTGGGATTTTGTGACGCACCCGTACAAAATAGTGCCCAGTTGTGAAGTGGAAGGAAAAGGAGACATTTTAAAAATGTTCAAAAGGAGGGAAATTTCAATCGGGTGTCATACATTGTCATGCAACTGCCACCACCATGCTTCATTGTGGTGGCATGTTGGCCGGATTGTATGTTCAGACTGATCTGCAGCTTTGCAGGCCAAAAAAAAGAGAAAACCTTCTGGTAGATTTGAATGTAATATGTGTGTGTTTGAAAATAAGTCTGCATTTCCTCTTCAGCGGTCTGTGAATCAGATAGTAAAATCTCTGATAAAACCATTGGGGCCAGACAAACACAAGCCAATAACTAATGTTTTTTTTTTTTTTTTTTGGATTTGTTCATTTGATAAATTTGAACAAAAAAAAGCACATCTTTGTTGTCATGTTGCTGTATAAGTAGTCTGTTTTTGGTTGTATGCAATGTTAGTTTTTCTGCACACTTAATATTTTGCATGTTGGCCGAGAAGTTTCATTTTTACATGTTTGGCATATGATCCTGTTTAGATTCCCGGTCATGCTTTAAACTTCTCCACAACTTCATTTATGACCTGTCAGCAGTGTTCCTTAACCTTCATGTTACTGTTAGATTTCTAATGTTCCCTATCAAATGCATTTGGTCTTCACAGAACAGCTGAATTTAGAACAAAATTAAATGCTACACCAGTAGAATCATGAACCAGGCAACTTCTGAAGGCGACTGACTGAATTTAGAGGTGTCGGATGAAAAAGTCTAAACAGAAACGTAATTATCCTCTACTTTGTGTTGCTCTGTCAGTCAAAATCCTAATAAAATACACTGAAGTTTGTGGCTGTAACATGATAAAGTGCGGGAAAAGTTCAATACCCGTTCCATACTATGCAAACCACCATCTCTGATTAAGCTGGAAGATTGTGGTGTGTTTTTTAATGTAATTTCTGCAGACTTGAACTAAACTGCATACACACTCAGTCCTTAATACACATACACACACACACGGGGAGAAACCCATCCCTTCCTTTAAGCATTTCCTGTCTGAGTGGATCATAAAGACATGAACAGCTTCCTTCTTCCTCTACCATTGTGAAGCACTTTCAGATTCAGGCGCTATGCTTTCCTTCCTCTTTCTCACTCTCACAGTTCTGTCTCATATTTTGTGACGATTCATTTTTCGTGTTTCCCCTCTCACTCTTGTTCTCATTTTTCACTATTGTATACAAAACAGCTGCTTTGCGTGACAAATGACCTTGTTGTTGAACCCGTGATGAAACGCATCAGCTGCGCTGATGATTTGGTTGACAGGATGTTGAATCTGAAGCGTTTGTGCTTTACTTGATGGCTCCAACTAGAGGCCTGTTGTGTATATTTGCTCCCCTGCCGATTTTTGCAATTTTTTTTTTTTTTAATTGCATTTTTAATCTAAATGCACAACTAACAGTGATGCACAGTGACTTCCTTTCTCTCGGTTTCTGACAGATTTGCTTGATGCTTCCTGTGGTTCAGAGTAAACACATGCTGTGCTACAGGGACCAGTTAAATTCCTTCACATTTGGAATTCAGTGGGCTGGTTTTGCCTCCGCTAAACATACATGTATATTTTTTCTTTACCCTTGTCGTAAGAATGATGTTATCTGTTGTTTGCAGTATTAGTTACCTAGAGAGAGAGGGGGATACACAATTGTTAAGTGTGCAGGTATGAACTGCAGTGTTTCAGACTCAGAAATAAAAGTGGAAAGGGTCAGGATTACAATACGTGGGCAGGAAATGGTGAAGGGGTGGATTGACCTGGTGCTGCCTACAGCTTCAATCAGCGTCGGTATGTGAAAGCAGGCGTTAGAAGTACTAAAGTTATCATGTCTAATGAATACTAAAAAATTGCCTTGACATGGCTGTCTTAAAAATGTCCATTAGTCTACTTTTCATCCCCAGAATCAGAACCAAACACGGAGAGGCAGTGTTCAAATTGTACGCTCGTCTTATCTGGAAGAAACTTCCAGACAGCTGCAAAAATGCTGAAACACTCAGCCGCTGTACATCAAGGGTAAAACCCATTTGCTTAGAGCTGTCTTTGACTAATAACGATAACAATTGGAACATCATAAATTGTGGTCTGTTTCTCAACCTGTCATTATTTCCGTTTACTGCAGTGTTTTTCAGTGCCTGGTCCTCCAGGCACTCTGCCCTGAATATTTTGGGCATTTCCCTGTTTCAGCACACGTCATTTCAATAGATGGCTGATTAACAGGCTTTTGCTGAACTGCAGTCGTCTGACTTGGGTGTGTTACAGCAAAGGAAACATCTAAAACATGCTGGGCAGTGTGCCTTGAGGAACAGGGTTGGGGAAACACTGCTTTACTGTAACGTTGTTTCATTTTTATTTTAATCATGTAAAGCACTTTAAGTCACCCTGCTGCTAAAAATGTTCACTACAAATAAAATTGCCTTGCTTCGTCGTTTAGGGAAAAAAACAAAAAACAAATTCGGCTGTTTGGAAATATATGATAGTCTGGAAAAACTCTAAGTTCTGGAAATGAAGAGTGCCATCCATCACACTCTTTTAAAAGCAAAGTCGGAAAGCTGCAAGTGGTATGACATGACGTAAATACAAAGTTGTATCTCATCGGAATACAAGCAAGAAATGCTAAAGTAACCATTATTTGGTCTAGGATAACCATATAAATATCGCATGAAAGTTAGATTTCCACGTCGTTGGCAAGAAATGATAGGATAGAATATAGAATTTGAACTTTTTCCCACAACGTTGATCAACAAAGACTTAAAAGGTCTAACTACGCACTTACAACCTGAACACTGTGGTAATCTACCATTTTATTTTTGATTGACTTTTAGCCAGTCGCATTGGCCGCATAGGAAGATGTTTCTCCATCGGCTACAAACGTGACTTCCTCAGCTCAATCTGTCTGCGGTGTGAAAAGATTCCTGAGTTCAAGATGAGAAAAAAGCAAGTGAAGAAAAAAAGATGGGTAGAAAGAGAATGGAAGGGATAAATTATGATTGAAAAGTATGGATGAGAGAAATGTTTTGAAGCCGATCGGCACAAGGTGAGCATATGGAGAGAAAAGAAGGAAAGCAAAAAAAAAAAATAAAAAATTCAGGAAAGAAAATTGTTGAAGGATCAGGGTACCATTACTGGCCTTTGTATTGTTTTCTACTCCACTTCAGCTTTTGCGCAAATCCTCAATTGTCCTCGTTTTATCTCTTCCAGGACAGAAACGAGGTGGACGACACGTCGGAGGGGCGTGGGAATCGCTAACCGCACGCACGTACAGTATGATTGGTAGGTTCTGTTCTTCCTGTCTTCAGATGTGTTTTGCAGCAATAAACATATGTTAATTGTGTATGCACACACAGCGCAGCCTCGGGAAGGTGCCGTGGTGTTCATATAGCTATTCATTATCACTCTAAATGACAGTTATCTTTTTATAAAGGAAGCACACTCATACAGCGGTATGCTCTTGCTTTAGCTCTGAGTAGAAGAATACGGTTACCTCTAAGGAAGTGGGTGTATTACACTGATTTATTTTAAAGATCTGCTTTCTGTTTGATTTACCGGAAAAGGATGTAAGAGTCATAATAATTAAAACAAGAACTTCTAAAAAAGTTCAGATTTTCTGAAAAAAGAAAATAGTCACTGGTTCAAATCCACCCCTTACCTACCATTGCTCTCTACCTGCATGTGATTACATATCCCTTAGCTAGCTTATGGCATAAGTCTGGCTGTATATTTGACTACTTCGTCTTGCACAATTGATAGTTGATTTAAATTGGCAAGTTTTTTTTTTTTTTTTGAAAGGCCTGCTTTACGAAGTTCAAAACCGGTCAGCCATTGTATTTTGGATGGCTGTCTGGCAGAACACCTGGTTCTGTTCACATTTCAACCAAGCTACCTGTTAATTTGAGCTAAAGCTGAAGAACTTGAGCTTCACATGAGTTATGTTCCACTAAAACATTTAAGTGTGAACAAAAGAGGGGAAAAAGAAATCTAAAACAGGGGCAAAAACTTTTTCACAACACGGCTGATGGTTCATTTTCTTATACCCTTGTAAGCCATGGACTGCAAGATAAATTCCAACTTAACATTTCTTGTCATGAACATAATCTTCTTTAGTGAGGGACAGATAAAAAAAAACAAAAAAACAAAACAAATCTTGCTCAGACTGATGTTTGTAGAAGCTGGAAAATGTTTTCCCATCTCTCATCGAAGCAGTGACCTTTTTAAAGGACCCTCAGACGGGTCCTTTCCATCACAGCTGCCCCCTCTGTACAGTATCTCTACGCACATTAGCCAGAAACCCTCAGAGGGAGGCGAGATTTAGTAGGAAAATGTTTCTTGTTGTGATGGAACAAGGTTAACGGGACATTTTAGGAAGGCATGTTTTGGCCCCAGGAAGTTTGAACGCCGCCGACATGTGGTCTTCACGTTTGTGTTAGGGGTCGACGTGCGCACGCGGACGTTTGGGTGCCTCGCGCGTATTGTTTAGCTGAGTGTTGGACCGTGCGGACGTGTGTCTGTAAGTGCCTGTGTGTCTGTCAGTGGGGGACGGGGGGTGTCGGGCGAGGAGGTGGGATCAGTCTCACATCACTGGGCTAAAAGCAGGCCGGTGCAACACCTCATAAATCTCACCTCATGCTACAAGCCCCCCTTCTGATGAAGCTGCAGCCGTCCATGCTCACACAGACCGCGCAGGTATTTTGTGGCGCGCGCTGCACGCAGGTTGATTATGTCAAAAGCAAGAGAGAAATTGGAAAAACAATATGATGTATGATGTGCCCGTAAGTGGCCGCCGTTGGAACAAAGTGCCGCTTATTGAAAATCATTTATTTTCAAACCGAAAGAAGCAGTAACATCTGGGTTTGTTGTGCTTCTGGCCAAAACCCTCCAGTGCTCCGTTCAGTTTTAGCTAAACGTACGGCATATTTTTTATTTAAGCACATCTGCCACTCTCGTACACTTTCCACCTGTCTTCAACGACTTTCGGAAAGCGAGTAAGGACATGTAAAGCCGTTTTCAGATTTAGAGAAGAGTTTCTCGTTGCTACAAGCCAGATCTCATTTATAACCGTTTAATAAGCAGTCGCAACCAGACAATGTTTACAGAAGCTGTGATTCAGCCAAACTTCACTGAATGTATCCAGTCTTCACTCTCCTTGAACCTCCTTACATTTTCTCACATTACAACTTAAATCCTTGAAGTGCAAAGTCGTGCGTTAATGTGAAGTGGAAGTAAAAACGCACTGTTTTCAAAAGCTTTTACAACTAGTCTGAAAACTGCAGCGTGCATTTCTGTGGTCTGTCAGTTGCTGACAGAAAGTCATGAAAAGTTCAAGAGTGACAAAGGAAACATGGCAAACATGTGAAAGAACATACTGGGCAGGACAACAACCCTACACGTACAGCCAGAGCTACCGTGGACTGGTTTAGATCAAAGGTTACTGATGTGTTAGAAGAGCCTAGCCAAAGTCCAGACAAAAGTCCAATTCAGGATCTTTGGCAGGATTTGAAAACTAACATTCACAGACACTCCCCCACTGTGATTTGAATGTAAAAGAATGATTAGATTTCCAATCACTGATTTGCAAATATGTATATTTCAGTATCTGTTTTTGTAAAGAGTGTAGAAGAAAAAAAGCATTGTCCTTTACTTCATAATTATACACTGCTTTTAATATGAAGAAGTTCCATCTGTAAAGATATATACTGCTATGCACCAAAACTGCACTGACTTGAAAGATGGTATTTTATGTTAATTATAGAGATTTTAATCCACAGATCCAAATAGTTAAACAAATTTTGGAATTTTGATGTGTTGTTGGCTCTGTTAAAAAAAAAAAAGGAAAATTCTCTTAATTTCTTCAGAGTTTCATCCAGGCTTTATTGGCGCTATTAAAAGTTATTTAAAAGTTGTTTTTGGCTGTTTTTTTTTTTTTACTCATAAGTGATTAAAACACAAAAAATGCCTTGTTATCCTCTTTATTTCCACCAGTGGTTAGCCAGGTCCCACTGGTCTGACCCAGCTTTGTGAAAGAAATTCGGCAGTTGCAAATTTTCCTACAGAAGCAATAAAGATTTCCCCTTAAATATCAATTCATCACCTCTGGATTAAACTAGAAAATGTGTATTTCTGGAGCCCTTTTCCCTTTGGTGCACCTGCTCTGTTGTTTTAATCCAGGACAGTCGGTAATGGCGGCTCACGTTCGACCACAAACATGCGCAAAGGCTGGATTTGGCTTCAATTACCGCATTAGTGGCCTCAGTGGGATCTGTTTTGGGATAAAGCTTGACAGGTAAACTCCCATTTGCCCCCCAACCTTCTCACAGACTCTGTTTTTTTTTGTTTTTTTTTCCCCCCTCTAAATGAAAAATGCCTAGCCTTCTCTCCATGCGAGTTGCCAATATTTTATCAGGTGACTCGAAGGGTTTTGTTTGTTTTTGCACAGCAACCACTGGTTTACTTTTAGGCGGAGTAATGTCACTGCAGAGTGGCGCTCAAGTGATGAAAGAGCAGCATATATCTTACTGGAGATCGTTCTCTTTAAATGTGCCAGTGTTTCATGCATTTTAAAATAGAATAGAAATATGCGATTATTTGTCATCATACAGTATATGCAATTGTGCAACTGTCCTTTTTTTATAAGAAAACTCAAAGAAATCCTGACCACTATTGGTCAGAGACGCTGTTTTCATGCCAAGTGAAGGAGGAGAGTTGATGACTCCACTGCTACTTCATGCAATTCATTTTATTTTTATTTATGAACAGGATCCAGCTGCACATTCTACCAAACCACTTTGGCATGTGTCCAATCTTGGCACTGGATTAGTGAAATACCCACAGGCAGTGAAGGAGAATGGTGTCTTCTCTCAGTGACTGCTGTCGTCGACAAGTTTGACCCTGAGGACGTGACTTGTCCCCTCTGATTTACATTTATGTATAAATAACTGTAGAGGCAATACATGGAGAAGTCATTTGAAACGCTCGTCTTGTATCGAACTGAAGCTGCACGTAACCTTGAACACACCATCCATATGTTGAAATATGGTGATCAGGATGCTTTTGTTCAGCAGAGACGTGAGGGGGGGAAAAAACAAAAGTTTTGTTTGCCTTATTTATGTGGTATCAGTTATTTTTCTTGATCTAATTATTTTTATTAGTTTTAGATTAGTTACAGCACATAGAACAAAAGAGAAACCCGTGCCACCTCACACGTAGACACACGAAAAACTAACAAAAAAACAAAACAAAACAAAACAAAAAAACTACAACAAAATACCCCACATGAACAAGAAACAAGGTGTCAGTCTTCTCCTCCAGTGCATGTCACCTCACAGCCATCAAGAGAGAAGAGGAAAAAACAAAACAAAACAAAAAAAGAGAGAGAAAAAATAGAGCTGTAAAACGAAGTAAAATACTAAAATCCTAGGGACCAAGCAGAAAGGACTCAAGAGGACCCCAAAGTGTCGAAAATGTGTCTGATTTGTGATTAAGATCATGGGTCAGCTTTTCCAGAGGAAGGATGACAGAAATCTGTGTGAGCCACATATTTGATCTAGACATTTTCTAACCTATTGTCAGAAGCAAGTGTGGCTCTTTCTTTGAAAGCGCTTGCTATGTTGTGTCCTGCTTTTGAGTTAAAGTCACTGGATGTTCTGGCTCTTTGAAATTAAATTAAAACAAACAACAACAACAAAAAAACATTAATAAAGATAAATACTTGGTTTTCCATTCTAAGAAGGATTTAATTAAATATTATTATATAGGACATGACAGTAGTAAGTGTTTAAGTAGATGGAGTCTGGACCTTTTCCTCATATTTCCTGAAGATTGTCTTGAATCTCGTCCAAAAGGCTGAACTGAATAAGCTTAGGACTCCCTGTAAATGATTTCAGAAAGTGCCCATTAGTGTTAATTGCAGGTTAATTGCACAACCTTGGTTTTTAGAGAATGTTTCTTTACTTATTTTTACTTCTTCACATGACCTACACTGGGAACATGAAGGAAAAAAAAGCCGGGCATATTTTCTTCAGGCCATCCACATTCCTACACTCTTCCCGCTGCGTTTGAACTTCTTCTTCAGCCGTAGCAGTCGATGAGGGATACCCACACACTGAGGGACTCCGGTTCAATCATCCTGAAAGTGGCTTTGCTCGTCAGAGCATTATCATCAACGGAGCTAACTACCCGTCTGCTGCCAGCCTGTCCACAGCTTGTTGATCAATAGCTCCCAGCGCTTGGGGGCTATTTGCTTGTGGCTCTGGGGGGGGGGGGGTTGGTTTCTTGAC